ATAGCATATAAACCTATATATTTCTTATTTGAAAAGAAAAAGAAATTATAGTCATCCCCTAAGGGGACACCAGAAAATTGAAAAGTATAAGGTACTTAATTAGGTGCCCAAATGAGTAAAGTAATAAAAGAGAGACTAGTGATTAAGAACAAAGTATAAATTATTTGAGGTATGTTCAGATCGTTCTTTAATAAATATATGAAACTTCTGGATAAAAGATATGCCTCTCTTCAGCATTACTGCATAATGCTAAAAGCTTTTCAAAGTAGCTAGACCAATCTATATCTCTCTCACTCCATTAAAAGTTCTCATTGATCTAATTTTGGCTACAAAGGGTATTGAACAACTTTAATTTGTGCCAATCTGTTGTGTGTAAATGGTAATTTGTTTGGGGTGTGTATATGTGTGTATGTGTGTGTGTCAAAATATAAATAACAAAAGTTGCCATTTTAGCCATTTTTAAGTGTACAATTCAGTGGCATTAATTACATTCACAATGTTGTACAACCACCACCATATCTATTTCCAAAACTTTTTCATCACCCCACATAGAAATTCTGTACCTATTAAGCGATAACTACCTAATCCTTCTCCCAAGAGCCCCTAGTAACCTCTAATCCACTTTCTGTCTCTGTGAATTTCATGATGTTCTTTAAAGCTCCTCAGCAGCAAACTTTAATCTTAATTAAGTTACAAAACATCTTTCCAACTTATAAAACTTCAAGTTAAAATTATAATGCATAAATCTCTGTGGACATAAAACCTTTCATTTTTTTTTCTTGTAATCAGTTCTCTCCATCCAGTCCAAAACAGGGGGAATACGGTCGGTGAGAATTTTCCAGAATCACACAAACCTCTACTCACCTCTAAGACCTGGGTCCTGGTCCAATTTGTTTTGCAAGATTGGGATTCTTGATCATGTTAAAAATAGATTGGGAGGTTAATTTATGCTGCAAGCTGACTGTCAGATCAAGGACCAGCTGAAGGCTTTTGGATGGTGGGCATCTGATTCCTCATCACATCATTGTCTCCCTGGCATTTCTGAATATTCTATTTCAAATACATGTAATTTGCCTTCACTCCTTAGAGCGGGGTTGTTAACCTGAGGTCCTGAGATGGTTCATGAATAAACCATTCACTAAGTCGGTGAACTTGAATGGGAATAAAATTCTATCTTTTTTTTAATTAACCTCTAACTGAAAGTTGTATTTCTTTCATTGAAGGAGAAATCACAGCAGTATTAGCAGCACCTGTCACTTTGCCATGAGTAGAAATCAGGGATATTTTCAGATTACATCTTGGCTGTTGCAAAAACTTTGAAGTGTCATTTACACTCATCATTTTTTGAAATTACGGTAATTAGAGCCATGCTAGAGCTTGCTACTTAAAGTGTTAATAAAGAAGTGCATATATTATCATACCACAAGTTAAAATATATTTTAAATTACTTTTTTTATTATATTTAACATTTGACTGAATTTCAGTATAATTAGTTTCCTTTGCAAATCTACACGTTTTACTTCACGAGTTTTAAAACATTATTCTGAGTGGGGGTTTTGTAGGCCTCACCAGACTGCCTAGGGGTCTGAGACTCAAAAGAGATTAAGAACCCCCAACCTTTTGCAGGGGCACTGCAGAAACTCTCCACCTGGAGGATGGCGGTTTTGGCAAGATGCCTCTTTTCCCTTTTTTAAAAGGTTTTGGGAGAATGATTGAGAGTCACTACTCAAAATTTATATTTGTGCACCGCTTTACAGTCTCTTAATACTAAGCATATAAGATTCCCCTAGATCCCAGAAATTTTACCTCTATCCCCAAAGGGCTCAAATTTGGCTGAGTTAGGAGCACCTGCCAGAAGAAACTATTTATTTGAATCATTGCTGGTACACCAATTCTATCTCTAAAGGAATGTTCACCTTTGGGGCCATAAAGTACCCGGCTCTGCATTTCAATGGGGCAAACACAGGTATGGACCCCCTGCCCTCCCGTAGCACAGTACCTCCATTCCCATGGCAATGACCTCTTTGGAGCAAATTCAGCTTCATGTCTGGGAGAAAGAAACAGCATTTTTCCATTTCTTGGTCTGGCTGATGGGTTAAGGAAGGGAAAACCCATTCCATGTGGTCAGGCCTGGTGCCCTCCCAGGGGCATCCTGCACCCTTGGTTTACCCTGGATCCCTCTGAGACCAGGTCACCCTTGGTCAAGCTCATGGGCCAGGATCTAGCCTCACTGTGGACCTGCCTCTAGGTAGAGAGACTTACCCAAACAGAATGTATAAATAGCAGTGGCTTACTTCCCCACAGCTCTGAGCTCTTCTTAGAGACTTCGGGTAGCCAAAATTACCCTTCTGTGGCTCAGGTAGGGGACACCTAACCCCATCTCTTACCTGAGGAAAGAAATGGGGGATCTGACAGCAAAGGGGTGGTTGGTTTAGGAGTCACTTGCTGGAGACAGCAAGCTGTCTCTTCCTTCTATCCTAGGTGTGGGATTGGATTTCATGTTCTCCACAGCCCTTTCCGTGGAGTTATCCAAGTGGATCCAGCGGGGGGTCTACTGTCCTTCAAGCCTCAAGTCTTTCCCCCCATCTTTTCCCACTTCCCTTTCCCATCAGTCTACTGATGATCTTTTCTCCGTCACTGTTCTCCTCCCCATCTTCTGCCCTGGCCCAGCTCATCGGCCCTCCTCCAGACCTATCGCAGCCTCCTTGGCCCCCAGGCCTCATTTCCCCCCCTTCCAATCCGTCCTCCCACACTCTTTATTGCCTAGCCCCAGGGTGATCTGTCCAAAACTCAACACTGACCCTATCTCAGTTCCCATTTCAAACTGGCTCTGGCTCCCTAATGCCCTTCAATTATGGCCTGACACTCAAGGCCCTATTAGCCCTTCTGGTCTTATGTCCCATTCCCTGTCCCTTGTACCCGCAGTCAGTCCCCCACCCCACCCCAATGTCCTCCATCAGCCTCTGTATGGCCTCAGTGCATGGGCCCTCTGTGACTGCCCATCACACTGTGATGGACCTGATTTGCTGCCCACCCAGCTACCCCACGGGTGTGGTGGGGCACAGAGCAGGCACCGAAATGCTTGCTGAGAAGCAAAGGAACCCCCCTGAAAATGTTGTTGCTATCTATGCAACAGCTGTGGTTTCCCCAAAGTCCCACTGAGTCTGGCTTTCTGGAAGTACCACTTTCAGTGACAAGCCTGAGGGTCTTGCTGTGGGGGCCACACTGTGGAGAGAGCCCCCTTTTTACTTGACCTGCTGCTGGGTCTTAGTGCCACATCCCTTGGGAGAGCCTGGGGTGGTGGCTGTCATCTTCTCTTCGTTCTCCTCTGAATTCATTTTAACCTGGGAACACCTCAGGAGCAGTGCCTGACTGCCACCCTTAGGGTGGGCGCAGACCCTTTCCCACATTCTTATACTCTGGGCCCTCAGTTTAGCAAAGTAACAGCTGTCAGTACCTTGCCTACTTCCATGCTCAGATTCCTGCTTTGGACACTTGGCAGGTGAAGTGACCTCCAAGGCAGCTGACTGTGTCAGAAGGGAGGGACATGACGGCCTGAAGGACAACACGTTCTGTGTTCAAGTCCTAATGCCACCCCTGAGGTCACCTGAATGCTTCCAAGGGGCAAATCCACTGAGGAGCAAGGATGAAGCCTCAGGCTTGGGGGTGATGTCTGCAGCTCAGTCATCTTGCTGGAGAGGAAGAATCTGTTCAGAGATCCAGCTGAGAGGCAGAGACAAACAGAGCTCTCACCAGCCCCTGGCCTCTGTCCAGCCGGAGCCTCACCCCAGACCCCCACACCTCCCACCCGCTCTTGTCCGAGTGGGATGGGGTTTGCACTTGGCCTGGCATAGACTCCAAACTACCAGGCCACAGGGGCAAGAGTGCAGAGAGGCTCCAACCACACAGATGGAGATGCTGAAAGCTGAGGTACAGGCTGTTTTCTGGGGCAGTGGCCTTGTACCCCCCACTTCTCCGTGGTGGCAGCAGGAATGATGCTCAGCCACTTCCCAGTCATTTTGTGAGTCAGGACTGGGTAGCTAGAGCAGCAAAGCCTTGGGAGCCCACTGAGGGCATTGGTACCCTCATAAGGGTGAAGTGGGCATCATGGGGGTGTCCAGTTGTGGTCCCAGGAGGATCAGCTGTCATAGGGTCTGAAATGCATATCATGGACACATGCCCCCAAGGATACTCCTGGGCAGGGGAATCATGGGTCTGTGGCCCCCTGTGGAGGCAGAATTTGGGTTGGGGGAGGGGGAGGTATACTTTGGCTCAGCAAGAACAAGATCCTCCCCAGAGGGAGCACTACCTGAAGGTTGGGGTGCTGAGACTTCCAGCAGGCTGTGTCTCCAGGGTGCTAGAGCTGAGCCTCCACCTGCAGGGAGGCATGGGGTAGGGGTGGCAGGGAGGCCCCGCTAAATCACTTTCAAGTTTGAGTCTAGGTCAAATCAGCCTCTCTCAAGTCCAATCCCCCAATGGGCTAATGTGCAGGAATCCTGCCCCACCACCCACGGATCTGCCCCAGAACCACCTTACTCTCTCTCAGCCAGGGTTCATGTCAACATCCCGGCATGCCAGGTCCAGGTTTTGCAGGCTCTCTTCCTATTCTTCATGGTGTACCTGCATCCAGGTACATCTTCCTCCCCTCTCCTCTTTCCCCTACCCTCTGCCACCCTGTCTTGCCCCCAAGCCTCTACGCAGGTCACTCCTCCCCCAACCCCTTTCTCACAGCTGCACGAAAGCCCCCTCCCTACTCTCTAGCCCCAGGGTAGTCTCCCTGAGTCCTGCTCTTGGGCCTAGCGCTATATCTTTGTGCCTCATTCAAGTACTGCTAGTTGTCACCTTGCAAATAGGGAGTTGGGCCCCCTAAGACAGAGCAGGGTGGAGGCTGGGCAGGAGCCAAGCCACGGTGGGCTCGAACAGGGGTCTGTGTATGGCGCAGTTCCATAAGGAGCAGTGCCCACCTCCAGGGCAGGAGAAAGGACGACAGGAGAGCCAGGTGCAGTCCCTAAAACAGGCTCTTTAATAACATTTATGTCTTCACTGAAGAGCTTCGCTTTTCCCACCCAGCGCCGAGCTAGGGCCGGCAGGATCTGCTGGACCAAGGGACACGTGGGCAGTCACACAGCAGGTCCTGGTGGCCCCAGGGCCTTGGCACCACCTGCGCCGGGCTAGTAGAAAGAGTACTGGTTCTCGACCGCACGCGTGCGGCCACGTGATCCTTCTCCAGGCGCTGCCTCGGGAGTCTCATCCGCGACGTTGGCCACCTCCAGCAGCCGCTCCGCACTGTCGCTGCGGCTGCGAGCGCTCAGCAGGCTCTCCGCGACGGCGCGCTGGGCGGTGGGCAGGGACGCGGCCGAGGACGACGAGGTGGATGAAGACGAGGCGCCGCCGGCTTCTGAGGGCGAGGCGGGAGGGCAAGAAGCGGCGGCGAGGCTGGAGAAGTAGTGCTGGCCCGCAGGCTCGTTCCAGCAGGCGGGGGGCGGGGGTACGGCGCTGGGCGAGGGCCCCGGGTCTGCAACGCGACCCGGCACATCAGTGCTGAACCCGGAGCCACCTCATTCTCATTTTCCCCAGCCTGAGCTTGTCAGACAGGGCCCAGAGACCCGGGGGAATGGGGTGGCCTGGGATCTCATAGGGAGGTAGAATCTGAATTCAGCCTTCCCTGTTCCAGTCCACCTCCCGGGATAACTAATGTCACGGGTATAGGCGGTAGTGCGCACAGAAATGGTGCTCAACCTGCTGTGCTGGACACTCTCACTCACAGCTCTGTGCTAAGCTCCACTTGTATCTAGGGAACTCCCAGGTGCTGCCCCTTCCCCTCTGCCAGGAATCACCCAGGACTCGGACCCTGTGGGCCTGCCACTCTCCCTCGGATCCTGATGGCCCCAATTGCTTACAGCTGCCCAAGACCTGGCATTACAGCAGAGCTAGCTAAGCTGGGTGGCCGCTTGAGAGCGACTCGCTTCCCCCACTGCCCACCTGTCTGTCTTCTTGAGCCATCACACCCGACCAGGTGGGGCGTCTTACCAGGTGGGGGGCCCTGGGACCGCACATAGCTGCGGAGGGTGATGTCTGCAGAGCCCCCTGACTCCAATGGGATGGGGTGGGTGTGGAAGTGGCGCAGCATATCAAGTACAGACTGGAACCAGAGGTGCTGTACGTGGCACTGCCCGTGGCCGTTCAGGGACAAGCGAAGGTGCTGTGGGCACAGATCCGCATGGTCAGTGTTGGGGTCCTGGACTGGTGAGTGCCTTTGTGGGTCACTTTGTGGGACCGAGTCTCATAGAGGCCACATGGGGTTGTGCCAGACTGGGCTCCACCACAAGTCTTATTTTGGGGAGGGTTACTCCTGTGGTGGGAGTGGGGAATGGAGGGGTCAACAGTCAGGCTGGGACTGAAGGGAGTAGGCATTAGTCCCTATGCCAGGAGCACCCACATCATGCCCCTCACACCCCCATCTCTAGTCTCCAAAAGCCGTAGAAGGTAGAGACTACAGCTCTCATATTAGAGATGGGAAACTGAGGCACGGGGAGGGAGTGACTCACCCATAGTCACAAGGCGCAGAACTAGAAAGAGAACTCATATTTGTGTGATTCTCTCACCCCAGTAGGATAGGGGTCTACCTGCTATCCTGGCAGAGCCACCGCCCAGGGGGGTGGGAACCACCCCGGGCTGGTTGAGAGTGACTGTATACGCTCTCAGCTGCTGTAGTGGGGAGCCTCTGGAGCATGGGGAACAGGCAGGTGCCTCCCTGGGTTTCCAGGGCCCATGTGGGACAGACACCTCAGGGAGAGGAGCCACAAGTCTGTGGTGTCTGGTAGTGAGCCACAGGTCCTTGGCTTCAGTCCTATTTTGTTCAACATGTATCCCACAGGAGGAAGAGTGGCTGTCCCTGGGGTATGTGGCAAGAGGAGAAGTGAGAGGAAGGTTTTAGGGTATGCACGTAGCCTTAAGCCCAGGAAGAGGTGCAGGCCTAGCCACCTACATAAAGGACAGAAGCCCTGGGCTGCGGTGGCGGTGGGGGCGTTTCCATGAATGAGTATGCCACTCAGCAGAGCCAGAGGTTGCCAGAACAGTGTGAGCAAACCTGGAGAGCATTAATGGCACCCAGGGCAGGGCCTCGGCCCCTGAGCAACTACAGAGAGGGATCCTACCACAGTCTCAAACCTGGGGAGGGCCTTTGGGGGCAGAGGCCCAGGGCAGAACCTGAAACAAGCCGGGTGCATCTCTGTCTTAAGGAAAACCTTTCAGACATTTATTATCTGAAAGTGAAGAGCTACCCTGGAGAGCAGAGGTCCTCCTTCCCAGGAGGTGTACAAGCAGGAGGCTGGGGGTCCTGCTGTACCCCACCACTAACTTATCTTACCTTGAGCAGTCAACCTGTTCTGACAGGGCAGCAGCTGGCATGAGTTCATGGCTGGATCTTTCCCCAGGAAGGAGAGGAGCCTCCTGTCCTGCTTACCGCACACCTGCTTTCCACCCTCACCGCAATGCTTCCTTCCCACCTTGGGCTGGGCACTGTTCTAGCCTCTGGCTTGGGCATGAGTCAGCTCCAGGCCCTTCGGGGATGCAGCCTGGGGTGGTGTTGGCCAAGAAGTAAACTTGGGGCTGTCAGGGATGGCGTTAAGTGCCTGGTTATCAGAGGAACTGGTAAGGGCGGCTGCTTTCCAAGGAGATGTCCCTGGGGATGTGCTGCCTCCTCCATGTAGTGACAACACTGCCAAGGAGAGAAGTGCAGCAAGCTAGGGGAGGACTTGCACCGGGCCAGCTGGGAGTTGGGACACTGACTACCAGTGCAGGTCTGGAGCAGGAGTCCTGGGGTACCCCCTCCTCTGGCAGGGACTGAGGGGAACCATGTCGTGGGAGGAGCTGGGCCTGGGTCTGTCTCCCTATCAGAAACTCATGATTGGGGGGGTTTGAGGTTCCTGCTCACTCTGGTCACACTGTAACTGCCTCCCCCCGCACATCATTTCACTTTCTGTCATATTTTCCTTTGCACGTTAGGTCATTATTAGCACATGACACCCGTCCTCGAGATCTCACTGTCTAGGTGCACTGTCACGCCTTTGCTGTGCCCTGTCTGGATCACCCTTCCCACTTTACTTTAAGAATTCTTCCTCCACTGCATGTCTCAGGTCAAAGTCCCCTCCTACTCTGGCCAGTAGGGTCAGCAACCTCCTCTGGCCCTCCAGGCCCTGCAAAGCTCTCCTGTCTGGTCCTCTAGGGCCTACCTATGTATGGTTCCCTTCCACCTTCCTTGACTTGAATATAGGCCTGGCCCGGGGCTGGGGCCCAGGACGGGTTGGTGAATTGATCTGAGGAGGTTAGAAGCGGGGCTGTCTGGGGTGGGTGGGGCAGGAGGGCCTTGGTTGACTCCAGCCCTGCACTGAAGTGGCTCTGGGTAGAGACCCTCAGAAGCTCTAATGTTATGTGATTCCTAATGCGCAGGGTCAAAGTTAAGTCCTCAGAAGGGCATGGCCTCCTGAGTGCTCAGCTACCAGAAGGTGACTTTCCTATCTAGATAGTGGAGAAGCCGCATCTGGGGTAGACTGCAGTTCCTCAGAGAGGTGTGGTTCAAAGAGTATGGCCAAGGGGAGGCCTGGTGCTTGGGAAGTCATACCGCACCCACATCCCTGGAACCTGCTCCTGGGACATGGGTACGACCTCACAGCCAGGGCCACCTTAGCCCCCTGCCCCAGGGCTGGCTGCTCTGCCCCGCGGCCTCCCTGCGCACTTACCTTGGCCTTGCCCTGGAAGTTGAAAGTCAGTACATACTCCCCAGGCCGAGTCTCACTCTGGCGGATCACGAAGAGGCCATGGTTCCGGGGCCCGCCCACCAGCACCAGCTGAGCTGCCTTGACCCGTGACAGTGTCCCGTGGAACCAGGGGTAGTCAGAGAGCTCCAGCTCTGGTACTCCCTCAGGCTCAAGCTCTGCTCCCTCCTCCCCTGGAGAGGATGACAGTGTGAGGGGCATGGGGTGGGGTGGGTGGGGCGGTACCAATACATAAGAGAAGAGATGCAACATCTTGTTGCGTTTTTACATGTAAAATGCTGTTTCGATAATTTTATAACAAGGCCAGGAACTGACCCCAGCCACTAGTTAAGCATATGAGCTCAACTGAAGTACAGAGGGAAGTACTATCCTAGTTTCATTCTCTAGGTTAGCAACAAACCTGAGAACAAATCAAGTCTCCTTGTTCCTAATCCCTGGTTCTGACCCTCCACAACCCTTCTGTGAGCATTTTCTATTGAAACCAGAGCCCATGGGAAGGGTCACGTTCCCGGACTGGCCTACAAAAGCCAGAAATCTGAGCTGCTATGCAGAGGACCCAGTGGGATGAAATGTCATGGCTTCTGAGGCTCAGGAAGGGCCTTGGAAGGAGCCATGGGTGGCCATGGCCTAGGCTAGGGGTACAGGAAGGAGAGGCTAGGAGAGCAGGCTGCCCCCATTGTACCTGTGTTATTGCTGTCACTGCCACTGCCACCCGAGGATTCCAGGGTCTCTAGGAAGGTCTCCAGTGGGACATGGACCAGGGACTCACTGATGGCATCTCTAGCCCGGCTATGTGGGGCTGTCACCACAGCTGCTGTTGTCTCTGGGGGCCGGGGCAGGTCCACTGATGGAGAAGTGACAGGTAAGACACATGTCTGGCCATCTTGGAGCAACCATCCCTCCAACCCTGCCATCTACTACTCCGGCCAGCTCTGCCCCCACCTACCCTCCGTGAGGAGCTCACAGCTACAAGAGGCCACTCGGCTGGCCAGACAGCCTCCCTGAGCACAGGAGTGCTCAGTGTCTTCCTCGCTGTCCCTATAAGACAAAAAAGCATAACCATATTCCGCCATGGGACCTGGACCATGGGCTGCTCAGAGAACCAGTCAGTGGCTCACCTAGGGTCCTTCTGCCTCCATGTTCCTCTGTCACACCCTCATCCTGCTCTGTGGCTATCATGTAAGTGACTGGCCATATAAGAGAGGTCTCCAGGTGGGTACAGTCCTCTTTGAGGACACATGACCTCTGACCACAAACCTACAAAGGGCCGGTCTCCTACTGGGATCTCATAGAGTCCCTCAAATGGTGGCAGGGCACAGTGGCGGGTGGGGCCTGGGCAGCTCTCTTTGCTGCCCTGGGCTTTTGTCTGCCCATCTGCGACACAAGGTGGCTGGGACCTTGCCAGCTCTAAAATATTGCAAAGTTCACCCTCACAGGGTCTAGGGAAATATTTTGCAGAGCAGATGGTCGGGAGCGTGACAGGGGAGGGAATATAACCAGTTTGGGGATCGGGGGCCTGGGAGGCACTCTGAACTTTAATTGTGCTTCCTTAAACGAAGCTGTTAATTAGAAAGCAGCAGCCCCTCCCCACTAGGGCTTGCCTCACCCCATTAGCCAGAAGAGCTGTTGCCAAATGCTCTGCTGCTGGCCTGCCTGCCCCTCCTACTCTTGGCGTTGGGATCTCTCCTGGATGGTGCTGCCAGCCTCCCTGCTGCTCTTCCCATACCATGACCCTAGCTACCCTCTGCTTATTCATAGCTATGGCCCCCCACTGCCCCCAACCTACCAGCTTCCTGGGCTTTCATCGAAGTCCCCTCTTCACCAGCTCTAATTCTAGCTACCCGAAGTCCTTGCCATTCCCTGCAAGTCCCAGGCTCACGCACACCTCCACATCTTTTTCTGGGCTGTTCTCTCTGCCCTCAACCACCCCCAGCCCCCTCTGCCTGGCTTAGGCCCACTCTTTCTTTAAGTTTCAGAGATGGTGAGCACCTCTACCAGCATACTATGCCTTCTCTGAGCCCCAGGCTGGGTTAGGGGCCTCCCTTCTATCTCCTCAGCCCTGTGGACTCACTCCATCACTGCCTTCCTCCTAGTGGCCTTAGGCTCACCAGGGGTGAGGACAAGACTTGATCTAACTTCCTTGCAGTTCCCCAGGCCCTGGCCCTGCAGAGCAAGCTTTGAAGAGCCTGCTGGGAGTAGGGGTGGGGGTGGGAGTATGAATGAATGGCTGGCACCAACCTGAATAGGATTGCCATGAGAAAAGCCCATTTCTGGAGCTCGGCACTGGAAAGCTACCCCGACCCTGTCCACCCATCCTAGGGCCACTTGGGCGCTTACCCCAGGTCCACACAGCCCTGGATGTCAGCCACCCATGAGTGCTTCTGCAGTGAGTCAATGGTCTCCAGGATGTACTCTGCTCCATTCTCCACCTGGGGAAGAGGTGGCCCGGAGTCCAGATAGCAGTCAGTATCCCAAACTCCTCCACCCTCAGCAGGGGTCTCTAGACCCCAGGATAAATGGCTCATCCCACTTCTCCCCCCATGAGGGCTCATTGGTGTGAGCAGCAGGGAAGACAACGGGGTCACTGTCAAGCACCATCCCAAACTCAGGCCAAGGTCCTTGGGTGGAGCCGTACCCCACATTCTCAGCAGCCCCTCCTTCCTGGGCCCACCACTAGGATGACTGGGGATGATGTCTAGCCCTGCTGACCTTGGATCCTCAGTCCCTGGAGATGCAGCCTCAGAGGAGGTCATGCTTGTCAGGGAAGGGTGGGCTGGCACCCTGGAGATGGAGTGAAAGGTCCTCCAACCCTCAAGTCAGTCAAAGGGCCAGCTGACCCAGCACACTGAGGGGCTCAATTGCCTTATTCCCTGGTATAAGCAGCCTCCATAGGGGAAGCCCCCGCTGTGGGCCAGGCCCAGAATGCGCACATACATTATCTGGTGAACTCTTCCCAACAGCCCTGGGAGGGAGGTGATATGCTTTCCCTGTTGTACAGATGAGAAGACCGAGGTTCAGAGAGGTCAGGTATCTGCTCAAAGTCCCATTAGCACTCAGTGATAGCACTGGGACCTGAACTCAGGTCTCTGTGATGCCAAAGCTGTGTGCTCTCAGCTTCCTGCCTCGGTTACAATGCAGTTGTTGGACCCCCAGCATCTCAGAGCTGGGAGTGTCCTTAGGGACCACCATCAACCCCTCTCTGAACAGATGGGGGAACTGAGGCCCAGAGTGGGGCTGGCAGGTGAGTCCCTTTGCCTCAGGGCTCCTGAGCATAAGCAGTAGCACTGTTGCCACCCAGCTGTTGGGAGCGAGGCTCTGGACCTATCTCACCCAGCAGAAGAGAATGCCAGGCAGGAAGGGGCTATGTCCTCAGCCCCCAGCCTGGGGTGACTCAGGGCATGAGGTTGGCAAATGTTTGCTAAATGAATAAGGGCGTTCGTGACTGAACAAATAGGGGCAAGTAAAAGCATAAACCCAATCAGGAGGCTAGAGAAGAGGATGGGGCTCCATGAAGCTTTGGATGGGTGGAGCTAGGCCTCCTACGGGACTTGGCCTCACAAACACCCTCTAATTCTCTGAGGAGGGACAGGGCACAGCCCTGGCAGCCTGGAGCTGTGTCCTTAGCAACCTGAGCAGGCTGCCCCAGTGAAGTGGGGCCTGGGAAAAGGATGAACTGCCCCCGGACACACTGGGGTGCCTTCCTGCCCACCCTCAGTGCCTTTGTGCCCTCCGTGGGACTGGGTGGGTCCCCACACTCCAGTGCTCTTCCACAGGAGCATTTGCATAACTGCTGCAGGCTGGCTACCAGTTTACCCGCCCAAGGGGTAGGTATGTGCTGGCTCCAGTGGGGGTTGGGAGGAGGAAGTGAAACTCAGAAGAGCTTCACCTAGGCCCAGGAGGAAATGGGAACAGGGGCCCCAGATGCTGGGTGACATCTGGGGCACTTGGCTCTAGAGCCCAGGCCTAGATTCAAGTCCTAGCTAAGTGCTTGACATTTATGTAGGGTCCTAGGATTCCCAACCAGAGCTCCCTCCCCTTGACCTGCTGCTAGCCCTTTACCCTTAGTCCCCCTATGGTGGCCTCAAGCTGTGCTACCCATGAGGGAAGTGGCCTGGGACAGCCAGAGGATCTGTAGGGCCAGGTGTAAGGCTAACCTTGAGCACAAACGTGTTGTCCTTCTCCGGCATCTCCAGGGGCATGGTGGTGCGGACCTCAATGATGGCTGAGAGAGGGATGCTGACCTTGGGCCTGGAAGCCTGGGAGGCCAGAGGAAGAGGCAGTGAGAGTCACCACAGAGCCTCCTGAAACCTTCTCTACCCTCTCCCCTTCCCAGATATCACAGTAGCCCTCAGTTTAGGATGCCATGGCAGCCCTGGCAGAGGTGTTCCCATCCCCATATCACAGATGGGTAAGTTGAGGGGGTCTCTGGGAAACAAAGGGACCTCCCATATAGTCACACAGCAAGTCAGGGACAGAGCTGGGACTGACACCTGAGTCTTCCACCTCTGAGCCCTCCAGGGTGAACTCCACTTAGATTGCCCTTGTGCTCAGTGCACTCATCAGATTTGTGGTCTTCGCATTTTGACCTTGACCCATAGTAAGAAATACATTGGACATTGTGACTTAGTACACATATAGATAAAAATATCTCTGAAACAATGTTTCACCAAGCAATATTTACCCTGACTGTGTGTGATGGACCGTGATATTTTCTATTTTATTCTAGTTCATTAAAAAAAAATGCTGGTCTCCTCCTTCAGACTAGCATTTTCAGAGTATGGCTCTGGAGCCCCTGACTCAGGGCTTCTGGAGCTGGGCAAGGCTCTGTCTCCAGGTGGAGGAAAAAGGACCAGTGTAAGGCAGGAATCCTAGGGAGGGCCACTCGTGGCTGGCCCTCCCTACTCTGCCCCAAAGTTCCTGGCCATGACCTGAAGTCCCCTGGGGCTGGCTTGGGACTGAGATTCCTGGCAGGGTTTGGGCTCTGGGACAGGGACTTTCTCAGGAGGAAAAGGAAGGGCCACAAGTTGAGTGGGCAGGCGGATGGGAATTCCTGGCAGTGCTGGCTGCCATCCAGCGGGTGCAGGCCTGGGCTTGGAACCTCGATGGAGAAACTTGGCTGACCATGGCAGGCCATCTCACCCGCCACTGGGGTAGGGGGTCCACGGTCCTACAGTGGGTGGAGCGGAGGTCTGTAGTGAAGGCGCGGACTGGTGACTTGGGTTGGGCTTCCACGGGCTGGAGGTGCCAATTCCTCCACTGAGTGTTTGAGGACTGTCTGTCTTGGCCCAGCTGCCTTTCGCCCTGCTCCAGTCACACCTCACTGTTTCCACTTCCTGGACAGAGTCTTCACTCACTCAGCTTGTGCCTCCAGAAATGCCTGTCCTGGGTACCTGCTGCTTGGTGAACACTTATGCAGTCTGAGATTCCCCTGGCTGGGGTCCCCAGAGCACCCAGTGCTCACCCATTGAGGTTTACCATCCAGTCCTGCAAATACCAGTTTCCTAGTGGCCCCCACAATGGCAGGGGGCAAGCCTCATTGCTCCCTGGGTCCCCAGGGCTTGCCTGGCCCTGGGCTCTGAGGGGACTGGAGGCTGGAGACTTGACTCATGGGGCAGTGTGAGAGGGAAGTCTGAGGATCCCAGGAAATAGTTCTTGAGCTTGCAGATCTCAAGCTCTTGTCTGTTCCAGTGGTGCAGCTAGGACTCAGGACTAAAAGGCAGTGGGCGTATCAGCAGGGTCTCCCTGGGATACAGTACATTTAGGAAACTGGACTTGAGCCCTTACTGTGGTCTGATCCACCTTCCCACAGGCTCACTGCTGAATTCCCAACTATTTGCATGAATGAAGAAGGGTTGGAGGCCAGATCAGAAGGTAGGAACCCACTTGCCTTCCTCAGAGGTTGGGGAAGTAACCCCTCAGGAATCCTGCCCTCTGCCAGCAGTGAATGGTGGGCTGAAGGGACAACAGGATAACCAAGAAGCCACCAGCTGCTACATCTCCTCCCCCAAGGGCAGCCGCACGCCTCTATTTACAGCCGGGCAGCTGTGATTGCCACTCAGGGCCTGGAGCCCTAGAAGCCCTGGGCCTCTGCCCCTGTCCTTTGGGTGACCCTGGGCAAGCCCTACCTCACTTCCCATCCCTCACTGGGCTTTGGTCTTCCTGACTGACAAGGGGTACAGTTAGGCTTAGTGGCCTAATGATTTCTCTCTGAGAACTAACGGTAGGCGCCTGGGCAGTTTGTGGGTCTCAGGACTTGGGGAGAAAGCGCTTCAGATAGTATGTCCCTGGGAAGCCCACACCCTGCCCCTCCAATGGAACCCAGAGTTCTGACAGACTGGGAGATGGGGACAGAGGTGAAAGACTCAGGTTGAATAAAGGCACTGAGGACAGGGTGGGCCTAGAGGTGGGTGGGGACCCTGGGTGGCTCTTGGGGGTGCTGTCGGCTGCTGCACCAGCACGACCTCCCACTTTTCCGAATCTTCCAGTACACAAGGAGCTCCCACCTCCATGCTCCTTTCATTCCTGGGACTCCCAGCATGGCGGGTATAATTAGCCCAGCTCTGTCACCCACAAACTGTGTGACTTTGGGCAGGATACACCCCCTCTGAGTATTCCTTTGTTTTCTCTTCTGTGACGGAGATCACGAAGCTCACCTTGCCAGGGTCCAGGGAGATGAGGCCGCCCACCAGGCTTAGAGATGGATGCATGGTGGGCTCTCAGAGAGGGGGCACTATTGTTACAGTTATTACCACTTTCCAAACAAGGTGAGTTTGCCACCCCGGAGGAGACCCAAAGCTGCCCCCAGGATTCTGATGGTGAGCCCGAGGAGTGGGGAGGAGAAGGTGCACTCAAATGAGCAGCATTGCTGGTGACAGCTAGGAGCTTATCTTTTGAAACCCAGGCCAGAAAGGGGTCATCTGGGCAGGGGCTGAGCTGTAGCCTGACAGCTGAGCTAGGGATTCAGATTCCCACAGACTTAGAGTGTGTCACTGTCACTTCTTGCCCTCATCCCCACAGGCTCCTCTCTGTATGGCTCCAGCCACCAGGGGCCCCAGGTAAGGAAGAGAGGAGGCAGGCAGTGAGGTATGCTGGCATGGGAAAGAACAGTACCCCAGAACCTGTCCCTACCCAGAGAGCCCTTCTGACACCTCACAGGTGGAGAGAGCGGGCTTGAGGGGTGACTTGTCAGACAGGCAAAGCAGGACCACATCCCAGGTTCCTGACACTCAATACTCCATCCTGCCAACCAGACTAGGCAGTGTGGTCCCCAAGGCCAGTCCTTGGCAACCTTGCTGTGCCCACATCCCTCTACTGTCCCTCAGGTGGGAGTTGGCGCTCACCTTGGGTGGCACGAAGAACTCGAGGCGGAAGCGCTCACCCGCTACGGCTCGGCGCAGGAGCAGGCGGCACTTTTGCCACTGAGCGGTGCCACCTGGGCCCGCGGCAGCATCATCGGCCACCATGAAGCGCAGCGCGCCCTCACGCTGGATGTCCACTAGCTCCACCTTGGCCGCCAGTGTCCGCGACAGCCAGAGGCGCCGTGTCCATTTGTCGCGCGGCTCGGCCGGGGACTCGGCGGCTCGTGGGGTGACATCAGGCTCAGGAGAGGCACGCCGATGCCACATGTCGCGCACACCGTCCACCACGCACAGGCTCATGTTGCGCAGTGAGAAGCCCTTGCGAACCCGGGCCTTAGCACCCGCGTGCACTGACACGTCCTCGGAGCTCCGCGAGTGGCCACACGGTGCCGCCTTGAGTGCCGCTGGCTCGGGCTCCATGGTGTCGGGGTGCTCCGTGGCCCCCGCCATCAGTACGCGGTGCACCTCCTCACTGAAGATGTCCAGGAAGTTGGCAACGAAGTGGCGGGAGAATGAGGCCCCGGCGTCCGGTGTGTCGTGGGCCGGGTTGTCCCGCAGGAAGCGGCAGAATTTGTGGGCGAAGTCCACCGCAGCCGCCTGTGCATGCAGCTCGCAAAACTGCCGCCAGTCCGGGACCCGGGCAGCAGCAGCGGAGGGGCCGGGGGCGGCACCATTCATGGTTCCCTTCCCATTGCAGCCCTCTGTGGCTGCAGGCGAAAAGAGATCCAGGTGACTTTGTGACCTCTGACAGTAGTGACCGCTTGTCCTGTATCCTATCCCATTCCCCCAGGGCTCCCTGGGGCTGTGTATGCCTCTGTGTTGCGGGGAGGGGGTGGGTCCTACAACGTGCAGCTGTTCTGAGCAGCGCCAAGGTGTGAAGAGAAGGACCACCAGGGAGGCAAGAGGCCGTGTCTGCAGGAGGGGAGCCCTCCATTCACTTTCTCTTTAAACAGCTGTCTCAGGGACCCCAAGTTCATTCTAGGGGCTGCCAAAGGATACTGGGATGACTGGTGCCCTGAAGTGGGGTCTCTATGAACCTCCAGTTACCTCACTCCCCTACGTAGCCTCTTCTGAGGGTCCCCCTTCTTCCTCTGGACAGGAAGAAGTCACAGTGCAATCCTCTGGGCTCTACTTTTGCAATATGCCAAGCACCCAAGCCCTTCTCCATTCCTTGGCATCCAGGTTGCTGTCCAGAGACCCACATAACCTCTTCTCTTATAGGCAGTACTTTAGCAGGCTCTTCACTGGTGACCACCCCCCACCCCGCCCCCAGGAACCTAGTCATCATTTCTAAAACATAGACAGATTAGGTCCCTCCTCTGTTCAAAATCCTGCAGTGGATTCTATTCCACTCAGTAAAAGCCAAAGTCCTACCCTTGGCTCCGAAGGCCTCATATGATCTGCTTCTATTTACTTCTCTAAGCTTACCTCCTGCCCTCCTCTCCTCGCCCATTCTGCTCTGGCCGCACCTGTCTTCTTGTCATTGCAAAAGCATGCCAGTCATATTCCCACCTCAGGACCTTTCCACTTGCAATTTTCTCGCACTTGCCTGGAATATTCTTCCCTCCACACTCCCTCACCTCCTTCTGGTTTCTGCTCAAATACAGCCTTCCATGACCACCACTCTACCTGGGAATAAGAAATGCTCCTGCTCCACCAAGTGCTGGCGTCTACTGCCCTTTGCCTGCTTACTTTACTCCATAGTGCTTACCCGCATTTGACATAACATTTATGCACGTGCTTGGTTGTGTTGTCCCCAATCCTCCCCCTTACTCTTCCTCTGAGAATGCGAGCTTCGCAAGGCAGGTATTTTAACAGTCTTATAAATGTCTGTGTCCCCAGTTCTGGGCACATGGCAGGTACCTTGTAAATACTGAATGAATGGGTGAATACATGAATATGTTTGGCATACTAGGCACGCACGTCACAGCTGTCACTGCCTAAGCCCTTATATGGGGCTTAAGGACACACAGCTTGTTAGTGACAGGCCTGGGATTCTCACTCTGACTCTAGGACTTGGGGGTCACCTCCTAGTGTGGTTCATGTATAACTAGCTTTTCATACTGGCATTGAAGGTGCTGCCTCCTCAGACTTCTTTCTAGCATAGTGGCCTGCATGCGGTACCTGTGTTTCTACTTCCTGGAATCTTGTTCTCTCCAGAGCACCCATCTGAATCTGACCTTCTTGAAGAGGCCCCAATCCAGGAATG